TGTAAGCTTTCTGCATTGATTCCTCTTTTTACAAATCGTTCTCTATGCCTAAGCATTCTACGTTCCGCATGAATCCAAGCTGAATTTGGTTCCGACCACAATCTCTCGGCAAGTGCCGCGGATCTAGGCCAAATTTTCGCATCGACTGATGCACTATCAACTTGTTCTGACCAAAGAGCTGCTTCACTTCCTATTACAATATAAAGATATGTACAATAAATTATAAAATTATTTATACTATTAATTATCAATTTCAAACAATTACTATTTTTTTATAAATTTCATAATCTTTCTTTATTAACCAATTTTTAAATCTCAAAAAAAATTTAATCAAATATTGTAGATAAAACATTGCAATTTTCATTTCAACATAAAAAACATATTCACCTAATATTAAATTTTTTTTATTTTCGAAATGTTGTAATTTTATTATTTTTAAAGGAGAATTTTCATAAATAATTTGCCATCCTTTGTAAGGAGAACACCAATTATTACCTTCACCTACCCAGGCTGAAAAACTAAGAAAAGCAATATAAAAGAAATAAAAATATGGACAGAGATAAAATCGAATATTAATTATAAACATATTATTTGTTTTTAATTTAAAAATATTTATTCACCTACCCACAATCTAAATAGAGAGCGTCATAATTAGAAATAATTATTTTAAAATTATTTTGCAACAATCTATCAATAACAGGATCATTTTTGGTTGTCCAAACTTGAATTATATATTTTGAGGGATCTAAATATTTAATATTTTCTTCATTTGTTAAACCACTAGTCCATAAAATAACAGGTATCTCTTTTCCATTATTAGCAATTTTTAATTTATCAATTGCTTTTTCTTGAAAATAATGCCAAAGCTTATAGAAACTTGATTCTGATAGATCCCAATGTTTAACAGTTTGCATCCAATTTGTAATAGAAATCGAAGACCTCCAACAATTTATATTTACTTCATCTCCACCCATATGAAACAAATCTGGTTGAAAATCCAACATTATATCTTTATATATTCCTTCGAGAATTTCATACACTTTATCATTAGCTGGATTTAATTGACCACAAGGAGGTTCAACGCAATAATTTTTCCATGGTTCCGCTTTAAAGCAAACGATTGTATCGTTTCCGATCTAAAAATGAGATAAAATCATGCAATTAAATTTTTTTTTATAAAATTATACAGAAGGAACAAAAATAAAAAAGTCAAGAAAAATTAATTTTACCCATTGCCAACCTTCTCCTACATGAGCAGGAGCATCAAATTCCGGCAATATTCTAATGCCACGAATAAGACCATATTCAATGATTTCTTTCACATCATTTTCATCATAAATCTTTTCAGGCGAGTAAGAACCAAATTTCGAAAAATTCGGCCATGTTTTGCTAACATAAGGAAAACTGTGAGAATCAGTGATGTGCCAATGTAAAGTATTTAACTTTGACATGGCCATGCCATCAATTGTTCGTAATATTGTTGCTTTGTCAATAAAATTTCTACTGGTATCCAATAACACACCACGATAAGGATATACAGGTCCATCAATAATTGATATTTCATTAGGAATTTGAATCTCATTCCTTAAATCGTCAAAAACAATCATTTGACTTAATGTTTCTAAAGCATGTCTTGCACCGAAATATGATTTCGCCGTAATAGTTGCTTCCAATAGCTATGTAGGATAAGAATAAAAAAAAAACTAATTATCGAAATCATTCAATCGTTTCATTACCTATAAAATATTGATATTTATGCTTAGATAAAATATGTATATAATAAATATTTTCTTTCATTAAATATAAAATTTTAATAATTCAAATTTTTCAACGAACAAAATCTAAAACCTGTTTTAAAATGTCAAAGTTCCTTCATACATAAGCAAATATTATTAATATGTAGAAAAAATATTTTCGATCTTTTTTCTTTTTCATTATCTTTATTATCCTACTTTTTTCTATTTTTTTGTGTAAAAAAATGTGAGTTCCATTTTTTTTTATTTATATTAAAAGAAAAAAGGACAAAAAAAATTTTATGTAAGTATTAATATACTCACCATTTCATCTATTTGTATTACACTTAAATTGTAACTTTCGTCCGTATCCAAAGTCAATTTAATATTATTTATTTCTTCGTAGCCCACGCATCGAATAAGCATACTCATTCCACCATTTTTTGCTAATTTACCACTATTTTTCACATTATTTTTTAATAAAAATATATTTTTTTCGAGTAGATATCTAATTTGTGTTCCATTTTGTAAATCTACTAATAAAATTTTATTAGGATCAAGTTGAACCATATATTTACTTAAAGATAAGTGACCAGTTGGTTTTGGCCATAGGGAACTTGATGCATCACAAAATAATTCACATACTTCCAATGAAGTAGGTGTAATTATTTCCTTTGTAATTAATTCTTTTTTACAAAAACCATCCTCACATTTATAATGCCATGGAAAACTGTAGAAAAAATTAATCTAATTTTATCTTTTTTTTCCTTTTTGCATTATTCTTTGTTTTAAAATACATAAATAAAATATTTTTTTTATTATTAATTATAACATATAAGAAAAAGAACAAAATAAAACAAAAAAAAACAAAAATATATATATATTTATAAATGAAAATATACATATATAACAATTAATTAATAATATGAATTGATTAATAATTTTTAAATTAATTAAAAAATTAATATGATTTTAAACATTGTTATATTTTTTTATATTTACTTTTATTTTATCTTTCAATATTATTAACGACTTACGATATATACATACATAAGTAAATGTATAGATGCTTTGATATATGTATGCTTTGATATATACTATACTACCTATGTACTATACCTGTTGCTTTCACTACAGACTGCAAAAATTAAAATGGAACAAAACTCTTTTTCTTTCTTTACACTTAATTTTTATGCATTCAATATATTTTTTTATTTTATTCACTTATGATTTCTAGTGATAATTATGAAGTCATATTTAAAATTTTATGTATACACAATTGTATAAATATCATATCGATATGTATATACATTTGTAAATGAGAAATTTTGATTATAGATATATTTTAACATGTTTAAAAAATAAAATAATAAAATAAAAAATTTTGAAATTTATAAAATTTTTTAAATAATAAAAAATGCATCTTTAGTTGTTATATGCTATGCATTAACAAAGTTATTAGAAACAAATAAAGTTATTTATAAATTTTATTTCGAAAATATAAAAAAATAATATAAAACTTACCTATAGAATTTCTCAACATTTTCATTTGTTTTGACTTGAACAACGAAAATAATAAGTAACAAAATAATCATATTAATACTTTGTAATTTCGTTTTATCCGAACACAGATTTGTCTTTCGAATGACTAAGTACGATTTCGTTCGAATGATTTTATTTGCTCCGTGACGCAAACCAAATCCATTTTGATTGGATAAAATATTTCAAAGTGGGATCAATATTTTCTTTTTAATCAATTAATAAATCATATAATATATTATCAATCAAAACAGAATTAAAATAAATAATTTTATCTACATCTTTTAATCTTTCAAAATAAATAATATTATAAAATATCATTGACTTAATATAATTATATTTTATTGCATAATTTAAAAATTACAATTTATATTACAATTATATTACAATAATGTATGTTCATAGGACATATATTGTAGGATACATATAATAAAAATTTGTTTGTTTGTTTAATAAATATTTATTATATAAGTGATTAAAATACAATAAAAAAATTAACAAAAAAATATTGCATTGATTTAGATAATTTACTTTATATTCAGTTCATTCATCTCCACGTATTGCTCTATATTTTGCTAATTCTTGTGGAAAAACTCTAGTTAATTCTACAAGCATATTTGCTTTAAATTTCCTATAAGCATCGATTTTTCCTTTTACTTGTTCATTTTTAGTTAATGCTTTTTCTATACAATCCTTAGTATATAATTGTGGATTTCTTCCTTGATCAATGTAACTAAAATCACATATAACATAATATAAATTTTTGTTTACATTCTTAATTTTAAAATACTTACTCGAAAACTTCCAAAGGTACATGAACATCTTGAACTTGAGATTTAAGTTTATCTATTTCTTGTAAGCCATTTACTAAACCTTGACTAAAATATTTATTATTAATAATTATTATATATTTATAAAAATATATAAATTCGTATAATATAATATGAATATATAATGAATATTTCAACAAATTTTAATATAATTTAAATTTTAATTATAACTAACCATACTTTATGATACTTAAGTTTTTATAAATTCTATTTAATCATGAAAAATTACTGTCAATCTTAATAAAATATTTTTTTACAAATAATAACAATTTAAAATAATTGTAATTAAATTTTCTTTAGTACGAATAAATGAAAATTTTATGAAATAATATTAAATATTTATTTAATAAAAAAATTGTAGAAAGATTCAACATACATTACTCACATTTTTTGATTCAATACATTTTGTCCTTGAGGTTGAAAATCACTCACTATAATACGTATTTGTCTAACATTTTCAATAAAAAGCTCTAACTGTGTTTCCAAATTTTCTAATGCGGACGCCATTTTTCATATTTCTTATACAAGTGTTTTATATATATATATATATATATATATATATATGTATATAGCGTTTGCGCACGTTATATTTTACATTCTGCGCATATATGATATGCACATATGTTTATATGAAAAAATATTATTTACATTTATATTCTATAATATAAAACTTACATCTTATAAATTGTATAATTTATTTTCTTTATATTTGAATAGTATATCTTTTATGATATAAATACGTAAAATTAAGTATAAAATTATATAAAATAATGTTATTTATAGTATATGAATAAAAATAGTATAATTCATCGAAAATATAAATATACCTTTAATACCTTATTTTATATATATATGTTTGTATATATGTGTATATAAAAAAAATTTCTGATTTGAATTTACTTAGTAATCGATGATAATTTAATAAAGTTAGTTACTGTATCGAATATAATTTCTACAAATACAATACGTAATATATACATTTCTAGGAACTATCTATTTTCTAATATATTTTTACGATAAAAATGACGCTAAAACACGTAGTTATAGGCAAGTTTTTTCTCATTCGACAAACTTAAGATAAATTTTCGAAATAACATTGACTAATAGGTTATATTACGGATGAGGTTATGTAATTGTCTCAGGTGGTGGTACAGGTTTTATCGGAACACAAATAATAAATTCATTGTGTCATAAAGGTGCTTCTTATACATGTATTTCTCGCATGCCTGGGCCTAATCGAATTTCATGGGTAAGAAAAATTGAATAATTATAATCATCTAATATTTGATCAATGATATTATGTAATATAAAATTTGTAGCATGATTTGGAATGTTATGGTTTACCTGAAAATACTACTGCTGTAATCAATGTTGCTGGTCAGAATATACTTGATCCAAAACAGCGATGGTCAGAAGGATTTAAACAAAATGTTATAAATAGCAGAGTAGAAACAACAAAATCTTTAGCTAAAGCTATTACAAATACTAAAGCTAATGTTTTTATAACAATTTCTGGAGTATCATATTATAAACCAAATGATACAGAATATACAGAAGAAAATAAATGTGAAAAATATGATTTCCTATCAGGTATTTTTAATTTTATTGATATTAATTTTTTCGTAAATATTAATTTTTAATACCATAAGATTTTTCATGCACATTAATATATGTTATTTATATTAAAATGTATCAGAACTTTGTCATAACTGGGAAGCAGCTGCACAACTTCCAAAAGATAGCAATATCAGACAAGTTACAATTAGATCAGGAGTTGTATTAGGAAGAAATGGTGGTATGATCAAACAAATATATTTACCATTTTTCTTTGGATTGGGTGGTCCTATTGATAATGGAAAACAATATATGCCATGGATACACATAACAGATTTGGTCAATTTGTTTCTATTTTCTATTGAAAATAAAAATGTACATGGTATATTAAATGGTGTTGCTCCACAAGTAATTAAATTAAATATAGATATTAAAATAGATATAAATTAAATATAATTAATAAAAATTATCATTTATAGATTGTAACAAATACAGACTTTACTAAGGCATTTGCATCTGTAATGCGAAGACCTGCATTTATTCCTGTACCACGAATAGTCTTGAATATCATTTTTAATGAAGAACGTGCAAAAGTTAGTTTAACTTTGATTGTTATTTTATTGCTGTTAATAAATGCATAAATAATTGATTTTTTTCAGATTATGCTAGAAGGACAAAAAGTTATACCAAAACGTGTTAATGAATTAGGATTTCAATATAAATATCCTGATATTAATTCTGCCTGTGCTGAATTAATTAAAAATAAATAAATAATAATATGTATATATTTTTTAAAATTAACAGTATATTTAGATTATATTAATTTATATATTTGCATTATTATATAAAAAATACTATATAAAAAATAATTTATTTATTTCTTTATGTTACAATTTTATATACTTGAATTTCTTTAAAAAGAGAAAACACATCCCTTTTAACAAAAATTTTAATGTACTTAATGTCAGTAATTTTCATTGTAATATATATATGAATTATATATTATTTCAATATATAATATATTTCTTCAACCATATGCTTTGATAATAATTTTCATTTTTATAATTTAAATAAAGATAATAAAAAAGATTATTCAAATATATTTAAACTAAATATGAATTTATAAAATTAAATATAATTACATTTTTTATTGTATAAATTTAATTATATAATAAATCTTTTTGTGCATTAAATTCTTTTATAATTAAAATTATAATTTAAAATTTTATAATCAAAAATATATTCTTATAATGCATTTTATGTTTTAAAAAATCAATTACATATTTGTTAAATATTTTCATTAGTGCGATTTTTTTAGTAACTAATTAACTTATTTTTAACAGAATATTTATTTATTTAAAATTATTATTTACTCTATTTATTTATATGAAGATTAAAATTATAAAATTAATTGTTGAAATAAATTTTAAAATACTTAAAATATCAATAATAGAATCGAATAGTAAAATTGAAGAAAACATAAAATGGCGCGATGCTGTGAGGACAGCTGTTATTCATTTAGAAGAGAAAACAGAAATAATTTTATTTAAACCAAGAGATTTTACGTGATTTTATGTGTAAAAATTTTGTTATCAAAAGATTTAAAAATAAATCATATCTTATGAAAAATAAAAAGAAAAAGTTAAAAATATAATAATCATTTAACTTAAATGATAAAACAATTTGTACAACGATGACAATGGTAGTAGATATACAATAATTTGGTGGAGGTGGTTGTGCGAACATCGGAGAAAAAGAAAGAAATTTTTTATAAGAATAGTGATTTCATTAATTTTAACATAAATTAAATCTAATTAATATTAATAATAATGATTTGAAATTAATTTTTTTTTAATGTATTTATCAGAAGAAGTGAGAATACTTAGACGACGAGAGAAAAGAAAGAAAAATACAAACAGAGAAGTAAGTTGTCTTAAAAAATATAAGCAACGCTTATTTCTTGAATTTATAAAAATAAGAATAAAATAAAGCAGCAAGAAAATTATATCCATAAATTTTAACTTTCGATGCATCCACATATATATCGAATATTTCGTTTTTGAAATTTTCAAAGACTAGAAGGACTTACTTCCATGTATTTTCACAACGGTTATTTGATTGTATTTTCGAAGTATCAGATAATTTTCTGCGATTAAAAGATGACCAAATATCGTCCAGTATCACAGCAAGTCTCCAGTGATAATCATCATTTTTACCACTGCTTTTACGAGGTTAGAATTAAAATCGATGCAATTATATTTCGTCTATTTTTATCCATATCTTTTTTATGCTACATATTTGAAAACATATAATTAATTTTATATTTATCTAAGCAAAGTTTTAATATAACTCATATGATTTCATTTGTTTTTGTTCAATCAACAGTTTATAATGAATTAATATATACTTTTAATTAAATATAATATATAATATAATATAATATATAAATATATTAAAAATATTATGGTAATTTTATATAATTTTATTTGTTTTGTACAATTTTATTTTATTTATTTAAACAATTTATAAAAATTTCTATAACATTCCTCTTTGTTATATAGAAATCACTATGAATGCCAGAACTCAACTATTTGAATTAAGTATGGAGGGCAGACAAGTGGATGAAGCAGTAGCAAGTATCTTCCACAGTGTTCTTTTCCATCGAAGTCTTGGTAAATTTAAATACAAGCAAGAAGGTAGTTATTCAGTGGGTACTGTGGGATACCAAGATGTTGACTGTGATTTTATTGACTTTACTTATGTCTGTTGTTCATCTGTGCATCTGGATCAAACTTTGAAACGTGAAATATCAGGTTTTTCTGAAGCTTTGCGTTCTACTGATAGTCCAGGTTCTGGTCAAATATCTTTGGAATTCTTTCAAAAGAAAAAAAATCGTTGGCCCTTCCAACCAGAATGCATACCTTGGGAAGTATGGACAGTAAGATTGGAACTTATTAAATTAGCAACAGAACATGAGAGACAAATATGCAGAGAAAAAGTTGGAGATTTATTAACAGATAAGATTCTTTACATAACAGAAGTAATGAATCGACATGACTATCTACCTAAAATGCCAAATCAAGCTGAATTGGATTTGATTTTTGATACATCATATCCTGATATACAACCTTATCTATTTAAATTATCATTTACAACTTCTAGCCCATCAAGTACAACAATGGGTAATACAATGAAAAAATTAATCAAAGAAACATTATCCATTTAGTTGTTTATTAATTTTTATGAGAATTTTTTTAGTAATGTATATATAATCCAAATTCATTTTTGGTTAACATTGTAAACTTTTCTTTGCTAACAAAAAAATTATTTTGATTATATCAAATTTTGCGTTATATACGCATCGAATTTTCATATTCTTTTAGTCTCTTTTACTTATATAAACATTTACTGTGTTATATGTTTTTATATATATTCACTTGCATAGAACTTGCATAAAGGACTTGAAGTCTAGGAAAAAACAAAGTTAATTATATATAATATTTATAAATATAAAGTGGGACAAAGAATTAAATCCCACATATCAAAATGTCATTTCTGACTAATATCTATGCAAATTTTATGCAAATAATATTTGTCAGAAAAAAAAAAAGCAAGCTGATGTGTATATGTATATATATATACATATGAATGTATATATATACATATGAATATGTATAGATATACATACATATATGTAACATACACATATACAATATATATGTATATATATATATAATTGTATAAATCTAAAATATTTGTAAAATTTCTATAGTACAAAGGAACCAATTGTGTATAGCAATTACTGTTTTGCGTATATACTATTCCAAGAATATCGTCCACTGTATAAGTCTTCTAGGTAATCAGTTATACATTAAATATCAAATATTATATTTCTTTATCGATTTGAATTTTAATTCGTTAATATTCTGGATATCGTTAATAGCGAAATGATATCTCGTTATTAATAGAGTGAAATATAACATTCTTTGTTTTATTTTTCTTTAAAATTTTTTCAATAGTAACAGAGATATACGGCTATTGTAAGAACATAGAGTAGTGTAATGTGTTTATTTAACAAAATGAAATTTAAAAGTTAATAAATTTGTCTTAACATATAAAGCTGTTATTTCTTTCTTTCTCTCGCTCTCTCGCTTTTTCTCTCTCTTTCTTTCTCTATCTTTTTCTTTTTCTGATTTTTTTGATGTTTAAAAAATTTTATATATATGTTTAAAAATGTTTAATATATGGCTGGAACCTAGACTTATTATTGTAAAATAAATTTATAGTACAAATGCTTATTTCTATGTTTGTTATTCATATATTTAATGTAAATGAAAATATGTATTTATGCGAATGCAAAATTAATTTAAAAGAACTTTCATTGTTTACTTTTGTTAGAACATCTTTGTTAAAAAAATAATTTATAAATGATTTTAACTATTTAGTATTAAACAATTAAGTATTTCATAAAAATGTAGAGAGATGGGAAAAAACAAAAGAAATGATGAAATAGTGATGATAATAATAATAATAATAATAAGAGAAGAGTTGAAAGATTAAAAAAATATCAAGTATATTTGAATGTTAAACAATAATATTAACTTTTGTTTTAAAATGAATGTTGTTATTTGAACAAGGCTTTAAAAAATAATAGGAAGTGTGTCAAATTGACATAGATTATTTATATAGATATATAAATATTATGTAATAGTTTAGATTAAATTTTTTTGAAAGATTATGTTTTCATATGACAATTTTTTGTATTAAAAATAAAAATAAGTAAAAAATTTTAACACTTTAAAATCTCAAATATTAAATTTATAATTTATTTTTAAAATTATTTTTAAATTTATTTGATAATATGCAATAATAAATACTATTATCTTTGCTTTGAAATATGTGAAATTATAATTAAATGCGTATTCGATAAAAAAAGAAAAAAATATAAAAGCTTAACCAAAGAATGCCTATACCCAATAAGAATGTATAAAAAATTTAATAGAAAAGAAAAATTGCGAATAAAATAATTTTTTGATATTTTTTAACATGTTCATTAATTTTATAAACATTAGAAAATATTCGAAAATTATAATTGATACTCATGAAATTTCTTTGTTTATAATTTTACCAGTATGTTAAGAATCAACACATTCTTTTAAACATGAATGTCTCAAATTGTATCTAAAAAGACAGATACAGATGGTAATGTGGACGCCTGCGCAAGAAAACGGCGGCTTGTCTAGTTAGGTTTTGCTAACAATTTTCCATTTTCAGTTATCGATGGAAAAGGCCGGCCGTCGCTTCGAAAGCGCTTTATCGTTGGAAATAATAACACGTTAAAAAGTGTGGTATGGCGTTTCTATTTATATAAAAAAATTAATATAAAAAACATTGAATTCAATTGTAAAAAAAACAACGAAATTGAAAATTATTTACCAAATAATAGATACATAAAAACAATTAGAAGAATTCTGTGCTAAGTGATTTATAAAATTATGTTTTTCATTCAATGCGACACGCAACGACGATGATAGCCGACGTATCCTTCATCGTTGTCAAATTCTTCGATCGATACACTAAAACATTGTGTACTTATAATTATCGAGTATATCAAGTGATTAATTTTTTTAACAATTTTTTATAATCGTCCAGAAAATAATTTTAATTTCATGATAGTTTTAATCTTTCTTCATCTTTTTTTATGTTTAATTTCTTGTTTTGTTTTCATTTTATATTTCTCATACAATAGAAATAACGAGAAAATATAAATAGCACGTAAAAATTAATTCTCAAAATTATCAACAGGTGGTTCAAGAAAATAGCGAATTTTATTTTTTATTTTAAAAAATACATATATGTATATTTCGTAATAACAGAATATTATCTGAATAATTTTTTCAATATTACTTATAATAATTAATATCGAATGAAAAATTCAAAGACGGAAAGAGAAAAAGAAAAAAATGGTGCGCGATTGTATGCTTAAAATTAAAGCTACAAAAAATTAAGTATACATTTAATCAATAATAGAGATACTGAAACGAAATATGTGGAAATTTTTTATTTTTTAATCGAATGATTTTGTAAATTTTTTTTTCGATTAAAAAAAATTTTACGTAACTAACATCGATCGAAGGACGATTCGTGATCACGCAATATCGTTCTATTTTTGGGGAATGTTTTTAAATAGTAGTAACCTAGAGAAATACCAGATTTCACCATCTTTAGAGCAAAGAAATAGAGAAATTTTTAAATTAATAACAATTTATATATATCGGTAAAATCGGTTATAATGTGTAATGTGAAAGAAAAGATTTTCTATTTATGTAAAACGAGTCAAAATTGATTCGTATTTTATATCTTGTCTTGTATTATCTTGTATCTGGCATGAAATCCGTTTAGGAAACTATAAAATTACATATTTATTTATACAAGTTTTATTTACTCCCTACTCGTTATTTGCTTCAAAATCATTATCTGCAATCAAAGAAAAACAAGTCAAACCGCTTCTAATTATATATATATTTAATTAATTGCTAAATACCTTTTAATTGCTATATTATTACTTATGTATTTATTTTGTGTAAAAGAGTTAAAATTATTTTAAATGATGGAATAATTGAGATATATATTTCCAATTTCTCTATCAATTCGATCGAAAAATTTGAAAGAAAAAACGTTCAAAAGAAATGAAGAAAAATATATAGAAGAAAAAAGATGAAAATATTTGAAAATTGAAAGAGCAAAGATAATATAAAGGTGCAATTTAAAAAAAGAAAAATCAAATTATAAGAGAATAGAAAAAAAAAAGAAAAGAAGTTAAGTATATTGAAGAAAAGATATGAATCGTGAAGTGAATAATATAGTGATTCCATCGAACAATAACATAGTGGAAGAATGGTCGAGCAATTCGACTATCAACCGTATCGAGAATGACATAACTTCCAATTTTTTAGTGCAATTAATATTTTATATACTTTACGTACATATTTTTATTTTGGGTGTGTTTGGTAACATGCTGGTATGTTTCGTCGTGGTACGAAATCGACAAATGCAGACAGTGACGAATTTGTTCATCACGAATTTGGCATTGAGCGATGTTCTGCTTTGCGTTCTTGCGGTACCATTTACACCATTGTACACGTTCCTCGGTAAATGGATATTTGGCAGAACTCTTTGCCATTTGGTACCGTATGCTCAAGGTGTCAGTGTGTACATCAGCACGCTGACCTTAACGAGTATCGCGATCGATAGATTCATGGTAATTATCTATCCGTTCCATCCTCGTATGAAGATCGAAGTTTGTTTACTCGTGATCATCGGTATATGGATATTCGCATTACTACTCACTTCCCCTTATGGAATTTACATGCAGGAGGAGGAACCATATACTTATTGTGAAGAACATTGGCCGAACGAACGATTTCGCAAAATTTTTAGTTCCATCACGTCAATATTACAATTTGTCCTACCATTTTTTGTAATTGCTTTTTGTTACATCTGTGTCTCGATCAAGTTAAATGATCGAGCTAAAACGAAACCTGGTACCAAGACCAATAAAAGGGAAGAAACTGACAGAGAGAGAAAGAAGCGAACGAATCGAATGCTGATTGCTATGGTCACTGTATTCGGTATATCATGGTTACCGCTTAATATCGTAAACGTTATCAATGATTTTTATTCGTCAGCCAATGATTGGATATATTATAAACTTTGTTTTTTCATGACACATTGCCTCGCTATGAGTAGTACCTGTTACAATCCTTTCCTTTACGCTTGGCTCAACGATAACTTTCGCAAAGAATTTAAACAAGTACGAATTTTTTTTTCTAACACATTTATTTCTTATTATATATATGTACGTGTAGAAATTTATTTATCGATATAGTTTTTTATTTCTTTCCCTTTCATGTTAAAAAAAAGAACGATTCGGAAAGACGTTTTATTTCTTTGTAAGCGTTTCTTAAACATATTACTTCTTAAAGGATTGCAAGATTATTGAAATTATATAAATTTTAATAAAAATAATTTATCGATTTAATTTTTGAACGGAAATCTTCTTCGTTTTAAGTATATTTCTATATATTTATATTTATGACGATTTTAAAACTAGTTTAAACGATTTAATATTGATATATAATGAGAGAATATTATTCATGGAAAGAAAATATTATTCATCTTATTCTTCGTAAAATTCTATTTATCATGACTGTAAAAGAAAATCTTTTAAGGGAAATTTACACTCATTTACATTATAATACAAGTTTGCTCGAACTTTATTTTACTTTTTAATATGCGACAACAATATTTTCTCCAATAATCGAGCATCTTGTTAAGTTATTTTAAACTTATCATTATATTTCTCATTTATATTTTAAATATAAATTTAATTTATACTGTTATACATTTTCAATTATAATTAATTTATTTATGAAACAATCATATTTCATTTTTTAATCAAGAAAATTTTAAATTTTTAAATTTTTACATATACTTTTGATATCAATAAAATTTTCACGAATTCACCGTTACATTTACCAAATGAATTTTTTTGAAGGTACTTCCATGCTTTTCAAAAGCAATTAACGGTTATACTCCGAAAATTACCGAAGAATTTCAAAATAATAAAGAATGTAACGGAAATAATACCCTTCAGGAATCTTTATTATTGAATGAAACGCAAATAAGAAATTCGAATCCAGAAGGATGTGAATTGATTACCCACGAAACAACAGCTAGCAACGTGTCGAGAGACATAGAAGAAACAGAAGCTCTCTGATTCGACAAAGGTTCAAATGTCAATCGATTAATGTAAGTACTTACCTTTGCTTTGTAAAGAAAAGAGAATAACATTATTATATTCTCTTTACCATATATGATAAATATCTCGAACTAAATTACATTATCTGTTGGTTCTATTATAATAGATCTCTATATCATGTGTTCTTGACAAACAAGTAACGAGATTATGTTGTTCCTAATAAACTGAATTGCTTTGATTCAATCTTCAATGTTTATGTCAAATTTATTAAGAGAAGATAACTTGATGAAATGAAATTCATCAACAAAATCGATTTTCATTTATTGTTTTTAATTACAACATTTTAATTCATTAATTTAATATTTAAATTCATTCGCGTTAAAATATATTGTTCTAATTCTATTTGCAATTTAGATTAGATTGATTGATGATATTGAAATTATAAATATTTTTATATTTATTGATTCTATAATTGAATAATTGAATGTTATTTTTAAATAACATATATATATATATAAACTTTCAATATTTTTCCTTTAATGTGAGAAACGAGCATAAAACAGGTAAAAAAGAAAAAGAAGAGAGAAATGCGATTTACTACAAATTGTAAAAGAATCAATTCGCATATCAAATAAAGCATATTTTTTCTATAATACATTTCTTTTTGATTCTTTAAGTACAAAAAATTTATAAAATTGTTATTTTAATGATTTTATTTCTTTTTTTTTTTTAAATTGAAAAATCAAAAGAAAATAAAAATTAATGTTTTATCAATTTCTTACATTATATTTTGTTTTTATTAATAAAAAAGATTATAAAATATTAATTATTATATTATATATTATTATATTATTTGTTGCATCACAATTATATAAAAGAAAAATAAAAGAAATAAAAGTAAAAGTAAAAAAAATAAAAAAAACAATAGAAATAAAAATCGAAACAATAATAATATATAGTACAAAGAAAATACAAAATATAATATATAATACAAAGAAAAGATGTAATAAAAAAACTAAATGATGATACAATTGAACTCAATACTATGAGAAAAACAAATCGAAAATATTGTTATACTGAAGACATGAATATATATAATATACTATATTATATATATACGTCATTGAATTAGATGCACTATATACTATATTGAATACTTATATATTTATATATGTTTCAATAAGTTGCCATGTATTTCATATTGTGTTACTTCGGGATTTAGGATAATTATTTTACTTTTTTATCATCATTTGCATTTTGTTGTTAACTCTATATTTCTATGTTATATCCTAATGTGTATATTTTTTCATTGATAACGCTTTTTTCTTAATTTTTTTATTCTACACTATCCAAAATTATTTTTTTTTCTTTTTCTTATTGTTTTTTTATAAAATTTCTACGTTGAAAAAAAATATAAAAAGTAAAATAATAAAATAAAAAGACAATGAAAATCAATTTTTTTTTTAAAACATTCCTCTACTTTATCTCTATTTTACAGAAACAGCTGTACTTTCCCTGGAGGCTAAAAAAAATATCTAGTTTCAATCAAGTACATACTAAATTTTTCATGGATTATTATATATTTAGAATGAATGGTGGCGATAAATTAAATGGAAGAAATATAATTTAAAATTAAATGGAGGAAAGAAATATAATTTTAAAAGAATATACAATGTATTTATTATGATTGATAGCATTTATGAATTTAAATTTGTTATAAATTACAAAAGAAATTGCAAAAAAAAAAAATAAACAGAAGCTTATTCAATTTAAATATTCTATTTTTATATGTCCAAATTCCATTTTTATTTTAAATTTAATGTTAATTTTTAAATATTTATTTATAAAATAACAAAGATGATTAAAATTTATTGTTAAATATCATATCGATTATTAATCATAATGATTATGATAAAAAATAAAATAGAATTACATAATAATATATAACTATATATATATTTACTTGTTTGGTTTAACTTATAATTACAACTTACAATTACAATAAGTACATAAATATCTACTTATGCCATCAAACATAGTTTGAAATTTTATTTAAAAACTTATTCGATCGAATGTCCTAGATAAGGGAACATATTGTAAGGGTATGTTCGCTGATAAAAGCTGATAACAGCATCGTTTTGATCGACCATTCTCGAGAATGTATTCTCCCCTTTCTCTCATCTCCAATTTCAATTCTACAATAACATCTCATTATAGTATGAAATGATTACGGTAATCCGAGCACACCTTGTAAAAAACGATGCTTGTCAAGATAATATATATATATTACATGACATATCCATATCTTTATATGTGTATAATCTACATATAAACTACAATTATAAATAAATAAATATAAATATAAATCATATATATTTATTACTATCTAATAATATATAGTAAATAAATATTTACTATGTATATGTGATATACTATATAGTATATATGTATATGTATGAATTTATATTTTTTTTATTGTATTCTCCTATCAGCATATTATTTTACGAGGTTGTTTAAAAATAGAGATTAAAGAAAAATGAAATAAATACATTTGAGATTCTATGTTAATTTTTTTTTCTACTTATATTTTTTATATGTGTATATATAAAAACATAGACGAGATATATATATATACATATATCTCGAGATATATATATATATATATTATGATCTCATGAATAAAAAAAAAATAAAACATATTTTCTCAAATAAATTTCAGTGATAAAAATCTATTTATGCAATTAAGATGCATTAAATTCGAAAAAAATAAAAATATAATAGATTATAATAATTCTTCCAATCAAATATATAGTATAGTAGTAATTTATATAAGAATGATATTTATTATAGAATATTTATTATAGAATTCTATATTTTGTTTACGATAAAATATTTTGTTTCGTATCTTACTTATATCATAATAAAATTTAGTTTCAATTCTAACCACTATTAATGTTGTAATCTTATTCTTTGCTGAATCGATAATGTCGGAGATGAAAGTAATGTATGTAAAGGGATATAGAGTCTTTATAAAATATATAGAAAAATATATTGAATGATATTTATTTTGTATCTTGTATATAATCAAATTATTGATGCTTATATAGTATATAATAATAGTAACTTTTCTTTTATTTGTATGAATATTAAATATTTTTATATAAGATTTTTTTATAGGAAATAATAATAGGCGACTCTAAAAACATTTAGATATTTTTATTAACATTTTTACATTGTTTTCAATAGTTACGTCATGATCTGTGCCTCGCATTTATTTTATACAAAGCTGTAACATTTAAAAGAGAGAGCAATAAATCTGCTCTATGTTATTATGTGAAATATAGTTTTTCACGATATTTTCATTTAGCAAATTTTATGTTTTTTTATTTTTTTTTATTCATGTTTATACATATATAATATACATATACATATATATATATATATATATATATATATATATGTTGTATATATAGTAGAATCTCGATTGTGATAAAATGGAAATACGTATCAACAAAATACGTGCAAATTTCAATGTTCGTATAATGAATGCAATAATAAATTATCCCTACAATGATATTAATAAAATTATTTTTTTATTATAATATATAAAATCATTCTTCATATATTCTTCATATACTATTGGAATGAATATAGTTTCCATGCAATGATTAAGGTTGCAATAATCGAGATTCTATTGTATATGCATTCATTTATATACATTCGTATTCTTTATTATATTTAAATATAATTGCAAATATTTGGATAATATACTAAAATTAATATTTGTAAAATGTTTCATTTTATCGTACAATAAATCAATATTTATGCAATAAGAGAATTATCCAATATAACAAAAAGAAATACATACATGTACGAAAATATTTTGAATATTTTTTAAAATAAACAAATTTGATTCATGTTCCATCATAGTAATCACAACAAAATTCGACCAACTTCTTAAAAAATTCACATTAATTATTTATAAGCGAATTAATTTAATTTTTTTAAAACTTCATCTTATTTCATCATAAATTCACAAATCTCTTTGTTACCGCATTGTATTAGATTTCATATTTAAAGAACATGAAAGAGGCACAAGAGAACATATTAATTACTTTCAAAACTCATTTTACATTTTTTATCTTTTTTTCCCGTTATTCTTTCTCATTATTATATTTTTAAGCTGCATTTATATACTATTTCAATAAACATTAATACCAAAGGGAACATCCTGATACTCAACAATCAACTATATATTTAGAATCACTAATTTATCTATCAATTCATTCTATTGTTTTTGTATTATTAAGAAGTACATTCATGATATGATATAGTAGTGCAACATAATAATATAATAAATATATTCTAACTGGAAAATTGATTAAGTTAATCATACCAGTTAAACATAACGTTAAATCGTATGCGCTATATAATCCAATTACTTTTTTCCAGGTACAAACGTTTTTCTGCGCATACAATATATATTAATCTCCTTGGTATTAATGTTACATTATTTCTGGATATTACTGAACATTGACGTTATATCCCTTCAGCATGTTAAAGTTAATTAGATCTTTATTAAGATATAAAGATATAGATGAATTTCATCTAAGCCATAATTTCAATCGAAGAGCATCTACACCATTTAAATAGTATCGAAATAATCGCTTATCACGCACAAAACCAAGATTCTCGTACAAACGTAATGCTGGTCGATTAGTAATTTCTGTTTCTAAAACTACTTCACCAGCATTATCTTCCACCATAGCCTGGATCGCTCTTCTTACCAGGTTTGATCCAATCTTTTGCTTTCGATATTTTACATCGACAGCTAACATTGCAATGTATCCACGTTTTATGACTTTTCTATGGATGTCCAGTTTGCAGACAATGGCACCAACACACTCGTCACCAAACATCGCCTTGACGAACAAAAAGCAAGAGTTTTCTGTAAATTCTACACACCTGCAAGACAAAGGCATCCGACCAAAGCTGGCTAACAATTTTTTCTATTTCTTAATATTTTCTAATACCATATTGATTATCTCTTAGATAGAATCATATAAATACAAAGATACACAATATTATGAAATAAATATTTTTTCCAGCATTGTTTGAATATATTTCATTGCTTTAAGAATATATATATATTTTGTTATTTCAATAATATACATACCAGAAAACATAATTTTGGCCAATTATAAATGAAATATCTATATGTGTAAATAGAATATGGTTCACTTAGGTCCTTTTGTATTAACTTCATAATATCAGGCATTTGTAATTCACTTGTGTAACTAACATATTTTATATCATTACCTCTATTTTCCAACGATAATGTACCTAATTATATATAAAAAATAATCAATATAAAGATTTCATAAAGATACACTTAGCTATTAAAATTTAAATGTACAAAAATTAAATTTTAATTAATACATGTAGATAAAGATTAATTTATACCATGTTGATTTAACTGAGTAGTTTCAGGTTGTGTAAGATTAGTCATGCTAGTAATTCTTTCAGGAGAATTACAAATTCCATTGACTCGAGATATTCCATTTCTATGTGATTCTCCATATATTTCAGTTGTCTTTAAACTAAGTCGAGATGTAATATCTAATGTAGCAATATCTGTCAAAGAGTTTTCATTCTTTTCTTCAATGCTATTTTGTTCACTTTCTGATTCATTTCCATCTTGTCCACTTTCTACGTTTATCTTTTCCATTTTAATTCTTTCAATGTTTCTTTTTTTCAAATATCAAAATTTTCTATTCACAGGATACAATTTGAATAAAGAATTTTAAAGATGATAATTTTTCCGTTTTTATACAATATATTGCTGTGACATTAAAGCTTTTAGATGTCATATCAATTTTTCAATCGAATTTTCATAATTATGATGAGTTAAACAATTTTCGTACTGTTAATGTTATTTTCAAATATAAAATTCCAACGTAGCCCTTCAACTGATGGACACCATATTGAATTTTCAATGATCATTAAGAAGACAAACATAAACAATATGCAACTAGCAACCATATCTTAATTTTAGCATTATATTATTATCATTTTTTTAATTTTAGATAAAAAATAAATAAATATAATTGATGAAATAATGTAATTAAATTTTGTATAACTTAACTTTAGATTATATAATATTTATAATAATATTTTTTATAAAAATCATTTTAATATAAATAGAATTTTATTTTTGTTATAAACAAATATAAAATTTTTATATTAAGAAAATAGTATATTTAAAAATAATATAAAAACAAATAAAATAATGTTGATTTTTATTATAATATATATTCTATTTCATAATTGTAAGAGGGCGCTTATATTCTTGGACAATATCAGAAGTATGTAGAAGTTCTATTAATATTAAAAAGTTTAAGGTTCTTTTCGACTAAAGCACCATGGGTAAGTTGTTTGATATAATATGAATTTTGTTTTTATCACTTTGAATCAACTTTTTTGGCATTAAAGTTATTATCAAATGATCATTAAGAATCTATAAAAACATTAAATTTTTCTATTTAGATGTATATTATTTTCATATATACAAAATAAAAGTTTAAAAATTTATAATATATTGATGGTTTTTCGACACTTCTTATTTTAACAATATAAT